TGTGTTTGTTTCTTTTTCTGTTTTTCCCAATTTGCATTAAATCCAAAGAAAGCAGGACAGTTATAAAGTGCTTTTTACAATTGTTTTTATACAGACAAAAACAAAACCACACATTTCACATTTATATATATATATATATATATATATATATATATCTCCAAAATGGTAACTTTACAGGAGAAGGAAAAAACATACTTTACTTTTAATGTAAGTCAATGGAACCAGAGTTTTTTCCAAGTAATTTTGGGCCGATTCTTTTAGTCCATTGATGATGAAAATATATATAATATATAATATAATATATATATACACAAAATGTGGTTTTGGTTTTTCCATAAATGTGTCATTTTCCTGCTAATTTATTTGTTGAGTTAAACATACTGGAAAAAATAAAACATTTAGCATTTTTTTTAATTTAATATGTAAAATAAATACTAAGTGTGCATTAAACTGCATTAGTGTGTCTCTGTAGAGGACGTTCACTTATTTACAATCAGAACATCAACGACAGCGTAAGATTCGACCAGGAGCACTGAAATCTCTCTATACCGTAAACTGTTTACACTATATTTGTTTATTTATGTGTGGCTGAGCTTTTCCCGAGCTGCTGTTTTCCCCTGAGAGTTTTCCTTGCTGGCTGTTGAAGGGTTTGCGGAGGCTTCGTGCTGTTGCTGCTGATTCTTTGAGCCATGACTACTATTACTGATATTACTAATAGTGTTGCTATTTCTGATAGAACTGACGTTCCTGATGTCAGAGATGTTCCTGATTGAGTGGTGAATTTTAGTTGTTCTTTCTTGAGGCTGTTTTAATCTCTGAAATCTGAACATGAAACCTGAACCGAAACATTGTGAAAGCTAAAGAGCTGCCAGGTACACACACACACACACACACACACACACACAGACACACAAACACACACACACACAGACACACACACACACACACACACACAACACACACACACACACACACACAAACACACAAACACACACACACACACAAACAAACACACACACACACATACAAACACACACACACAAACACACACACACGCACACACACACACACACACACACACAAACACACACACACAAACACACAAACACACACAGACACACACACACAAACACACAAACACACACACGCACACACACACAAACACACACACACACAGACACACACACACAAACACACACCCACAGAGACACACACACACACACACACACACACACACTCACACACAAACACATTGTGCCGGCTGGGTTCCACGGTAACAGACGTCAAGGTAACCCCACATGGATACATGCTGGGCAGGACACAATGCCATAAAGGCTGTATCCTCAGCTCCGCGACTCAGGGGTCATTTCCATTAACTGGAGGACCTTCACTCATTACATTCCCAATTTATTCAGCACTTCTAGACGGTCCTCTATAGTAGCTCATCTTACCCTTAACCTACGTTCAACTAAATATTCATTAAATTCACTTTTATTCTAAAACCCGACACTCATTCACTCAGTTGGCAACTTTAATCTCACACCTGATTCTGATTCACAGTAGACGTTAAACAAATAGTAGCAGATACTGAATAATCGATAATAAATACTAAAAATTACATAGTAGATGCTGAATTAAATAGAATAATTCATACTAGGTACTGAATAGTTAATGATAAATACTGAATAATTAATAGTAGGTACTGAGTAATAAATATTAGTTACTGAGTAATTCAGAGTAGATACTGAATAACTAATAGTAGTTACTGAATAATTCAGAGTAGGTAATGAATACTTAACAGTAGGTACTGAATAACTCAGAGTAGGTACTGAATAATTAATAATACATACTGACTTATTCAGTGCAGGTACTGAATAATTAATAATAAATGCTGACGTACTCTATTGGCAACTTTAATCTCAAACCTGATGCTAATTCAGAGTAGACGTTAAACAATTAATAGTAGATACTGAATAATCAATACCAAATGTTACATAGTAGATGCTGAATTAAAAAGAATAATTCATACTAGGTACCAAATAATTAATAATGAATACTAAATAATTAATAATAAATACTGAATAATTCAGAGTAGGTACTGAATAATAAGCCTGAAGTCTAAGAGGTTAATGATGATTTTGCTGCTGATGCTTACCGGTTTTTTGTTTTTGAATTGGCTGGTAATTTATTCAGTTGTTTTTCTCCCTGCATAATAATTTATAGTAGCTGCAGAATAATTAACAGTAATTAATAACTAATAATCTGAAGTGGTTTAAATTTATGTAATTTGTTAGTTAACGATTAATGTATAGTTGTTACTGAACATTGCGTAATAGATATTGAATAGTTTATAGTAGTTACTGTATAATTCTTAGCATTGGCATAATTTTATTGGTTACTGAATAATTCATAGTAGTCACTGAATAATCTGTAGTAAATACTGAATTCATAGTAGTTTCTGAATAATCTGTAGTAAATACTGAATAATTCATAGTAGTTA